GAGAAGCCTAATGACATGAAACGTAAAAGGAAATATTGTCATAACGAAATGAACCTTAAGGAGTATGGATATTGATGATATGTTTGATCTAAACAGATTGTAATTGTGCTGTGTTTGGACCTTGGACTGGGTTGGACTCTTAAGTTGGATAGTTAGCTTGCGAGGTAAGCTTTCGTGTCCTCGGTTTTTCCATTGTTGGTTCCACCATACCCCATGGGGGAATGGTTTATATGCATGATGTGTTTTCATATATTTGAAATCCTGTTGAGCTGTTAAGTGCAAGTGCCTTATGATATGCATGTGTTGTTCCACCTAGACGGTAAGCCTGAGTAAGTGGCGTCATACAAGATGGTGATTCTGTGGGTGAGTGAAAGTAGCGTCTTGCACTGATTGTAGGTTATAGACGTATATAATTCCTGCATGTTCTCTGGCCAGTAGGATCTTTACACACATGACATGATATTATATGCTGCATTGCAAAGATTTTGGAACTTATATTATTATACTGCTTTTGAACTTATATTGCACATTTTCAGGTTCAGGTAACTCGGGGGTTTATATCTCGGGCGGCAGGAGGCCGGAGCTTAGTTGATTGATGTATGCATGTTATACTGATCTGCTTGGATGCTGATTTATGTTTGTTTGTCATTATATTGTTATTTGAGCTGAGACTATGTTGGGCTTTGTTGCCTTATTTGGTGAGCATGGGGGTTGTCCATGCCACATTGCTTTGACTTTATTTATTTAGACTTGAGTTGTATAATGTATCAGGATACTGTCCGGACTTTGACCCCTTGTCATACTGGATGGTGTAGATCCGTGATTTAGATACATCTTTGTTAAGAGGTATTTCAATTAGTTATTTATTGCAATTTACATACAGGCATTATTTTGAAATGGATTAAATAATAAACTTGGTTAATATTAATGACATCATAATTAAAAAGAAAAAGTTAGCTTCCGCATTTAATTAGCTGCACTATTGCCATATGTATGTTTAATACGCCAGGTGCACGCGGGGTGTTACACTTCTGGTAGTACCACCATCAAAACAAAGATAACTCTCTATCCTGGGAGACATTTTTCCACAAACTTTAGGCATCGTTAAGGGGGCAAAATTGCCTTAAGAATACAGAATCAAATACTGGGGTCGGATTTAATTTTCTTTAAATTTTACGTTTTGCATATAACATTCGAGTTTTCTGTGATTTCAATTTCTTCTATATGTTTTGTTAGAAATACCAAACTCATCTTTGCACCGTTTGTAAAATTAATAGGTGTCAAGTTGCTTTATTGTTGTCCTTGTATTAAGTAAGAAAATGTAATAGCTGTGCATGTTGTAATCGGTTAGTTAATAGTCATGATGTCAGGTGTTATGTGAAAAAAATCAAGTGAAAAAAAAGAAGAGAGCCACAGCACTATTGAGAAAAGAAAGTGCAGAAAAGTCTTTGTAACTTTGAGTGTTGTTTTTCAATAAGAAAGTGTTATTCAGTCTCCATTAATTTGTCTTTTACTATTATATTTCCAACAAGTGGTATCAGAGCCACTTTCGATCCAACAATGACGGATATGATGCAGCCACAAATTCCAAAGTTGTCAAAAACAAATTATGGAAATTGGAGCATCCAGATGAAGACTCTACTAGGTTCTCGAGATATATGGGACCTTGTAGAAGATGGATACACGGAGCCCGCTGATGCTGCCGTTGAAGCAGCTTTATCAGAAGCACAAAAGAAGACGCTGAAAGATTCACGAAAGAAGGACAAGAAGGCTCTATTCTTAATTTTTCAAGGTGTTGATGAATCAACCTTTGAGAAAATATCAGATTCAAAATCATCAAAGGAGGCATGGGAGACGTTACAGAAATCCTGTCAAGGTGCTGACAAAGCTAAAAAGGTGCGGCTCCAATCACTTAGAGCCGAGTTTGAAAACATGAAAATGCAAAGTGAAGAGCAAGTTACAGATTATGTCTCTCGAGTGCAAAAGGTGGCTAAGGAGATGAAAAAAAATGGAGAAGTCTTGGATGATGTTAGACTCATGGAGAAAGTTCTTCGATCTCTAACAAGAAGATTTGATTATGTTGTCACAGCTATTGAAGAAGCCAAAGATTTGACGGAGATGTCAATCGATGAGCTTGTGGGTTCACTTCAAGCTCATGAGCAAAGAATGAAGTTGAATGAAGGCTCTAGTAATATAGAGCAAGCTATGCAGACCAAGATGACTCTTGATGAAAACCAAGCCAGTAGCAGCTTTGTACGTGGTAGAGGAAATCGTGGTGGATACAGAGGAGGCTTCAACACCCGAGGTGGATTCAACACTCGTGGTGGTCGTGGCGGACGCGGTGGACGTGGTCAAATAGGTAGAGGATTTGCAAATGATACTGAAGCATATGGACGTGGACAAGGAAATTATAATCGTGAACGAGGTAGAGGTCGTGGCAGAAGCCGAGGATTTATGATTCGAGGAGGAGGTAGATTTCAACAAAGAGATGACAAATCTCAGATACAATGTTATAATTGCAATAAATTTGGTCACCTCAGCTATGAATGTAAAGACACGCCTCCAGTTGAAGAGATGAGTCAGTTTACATCAAATGAAGAAAGAGTTAATGAATCAACTATTTTATTCACCTACGAAGGTGAAGAAGATAGTAGCAGAAACGTGTGGTATCTTGATACTGGAGCAAGCAATCATATGTGTGGAAGAAAGGAGTTGTTCACGGAGCTGAATGAGGAAGTTCAAGGAGAGGTTACATTTGGAGATTCATCAAAGACTCCAGTAAAAGGCAAGGGTAAGATTATGATTTTCACAAAGAATGGAGGTAAGCCATATATCTCAGATGTTTATTATATTCCATCTCTGAAAAGCAATCTCCTCAGTATTGGCCAGTTTTTAGAAAAGGGATATGATATACACTTGAAAAACAACACTCTTGTCATACGAAATCAAAAAGGAGAGCTGATTGCAAAAGTTGATATGTCAAGAAATCGTCTTTTCAAGCTGAATATCCAGACAGAAGCAATAAGGTGCATGAAATCCATCACAGAAGATAGTTCGTGGTTGTGGCATCACAGATTCGGTCATCTTGGTTTCACTGGCCTGAAGCTGTTATCCAAAGCAAAAATGGTGAGCGGATTGCCACAGATAAATCATCCATATCAGCTGTGTGAAAGCTGTATGAGAGGAAAGCAACACAGACAAAGTTTTGAAGTTGGCAAATCATGGAGAGCTAGAAGACTATTGCAGTTGGTTCACTCAGATATTGCTGGCCAAATTGATATTCCATAACTTGGTGGAAACAGGTATTACATTACTTTTATTGATGATTTCAGTAGAAAAGCTTGGGTGTATATTCTTAAAGAAAAATCAGAAGCTTTTGAAAAATTCAAAGAGTTCAAAGCAATGGCAGAAAAGTAAAGTGGTTAGTATTTGAAGACACTCAGAACAGATAGAGGGGGTGAATATACTTCCAAGATATTTGAAGAATTTTGCAGGCAATATGGGATAATTCATCAGTTGACAGCTGCCTACACTCCGCAGCAAAATGGAATTGCAGAAAGAAAGAATCGCACAATTCTTGATATGGCAAGGAGTATGCTCAAAGAAAAGCACTTACCAAGAACGTTATGGGCTGAAGCTGTTCAGTGTGCTGCCTATTTGCTGAATCGATGTCCAACCAAGAGTGTGAAGTTTAAGACTCCAAACGAAGCATGGAGCGGCTATAAACCAGAGGTAAGTCATAAAAAATCTTTGGTTGTATAGCATATGCTCATATTCCAGATCAAAGGAGAAACAAGCTAGATGACAAAGGGGAAAATTGTATTTTCATTGGCTATGAGCATAGGAGCAAAGCTTACAGACTCTACAATCCTCTAACCAGAAAGGTGATAATTTCAAGAGATGTAGAATTTGATGAAGCAAATTACTGGAGATGGAGTAAAGAAGAAAAGAAAGTTGAAGGTTTATTTTTTAAAGATGATGATGACTCAGAAGAGCAGACAGTTCAAGAAGGAGATGATCAAACTCCTCCACCAAAGCAGATATATGGAGCAGCCAAAGCAGGATCATTTCAGTGCGGCAAAGAGAATTTTGAGATACATTAAAGGAACTGTAGATCATGGCCTATTTTACACGCATTCTGAAGAATTAAAGTTGATTGGCTATTCAGATAGTGATTATGGTGAAGATACGATTGATCGCAAAAGTACTTCTGGTTATGCGTTTCATATTGGCTCGGAAATATTTTCGTGGTCATCAAAGAAGCAACAGACGGTAGCTCTTTCATCATGTGAAGCAGAATATATGGCCGCAGCAGCATGTACGTGTCAAGCAATTTGGTTGAAGAATATTTTGAATGAGTTGCATCAGGAGCAAGAAGGTCCAATCACTATATTTGTGGACAATAAGTCGGCTATATCACTTGCAAAGAATCTAGTCTCCCATAGCCGAAGCAAACATATTGACATGAAGTATCATTTTATTCGGGAGCAAATCAAAAATAGAGTTGTGGAGTTAATCTACTGCAAAACTGAAGAACAGGTAGCAGATATTTTTACAAAACCATTGAAGGTGAATGTATTCCAAAAATTCAAAGAGATGATTGGCATGAAAGATGGAGTTTGAAGGGGAGTGTTAGAAATACCAAACTCATCTTTGCACCGTTTGTAAAATTAATAGGTGTCAAGTTGCTTGTTGTCCTTGTACTAAGTAAGAAAATGTAATAGCCGTGCATGTTGTAATCGGTTAGTTAATAGTAATGATGTCAGGTGTTATGTGAAAAAAATCAAGTGAAAAAAAAGAAGAGAGCCACAACACTGTTGAGAAAAGAAAGTGCAGAAAAGTCTTTGTAACTTTGAGTGTTGTTTTTCAATAAGAAAGTGTTATTCAGTCTCCATTAATTTGTCTTTTACTATTATATTTCCAACATGTTTGTGTTCTTCACTGTTATTTCATAACACATATTTTTACGCTATCACGAATAACAAAAACTTGCATATTGTCTATGGGAAAATCTCTTGTCCAGGTGACAATATTCTTTTGGGATCAAATTCATCCTTTCTATCTTCAAAAAGTTTCCATTTGGGGCCAAAGTGCTCTACCCATTCTTGATGTGTTTTGTTGCCAGTAAGATATTCCTTGATGTTAATACCAGTATCTTTACAAAACTTTAGTATCTGTTGGTTTTGAGCTTCAAATTTCTTCACCAGATCAAACGAACTTGCAGCATGCAGAAGACTTACAGCGTAGAAAACATCTTCATCTGGTGTATCTGCTGACATACTATCATCCCACCTGTGTATTTTGATTCTATTTAACCCTCACACATGAAAATACAAAACAATATATAATTTTTAATTAATTTACATTTTTAAAATATAAATTATCTCATAAACTTACTTGTTTCGGTTCATGGGGTAGACTAGAGCAATTCCTGTAGTAATATTTTGCTTAAGAATAATTCCCTTGAACACACCTTCATTAAAATCTAAGATTCGAGATCTTGGAACAAAGAGGTTTAACCAAGGATGAGGTACATCCCAAAGTCCTTTTGACCTAAGAACTAGTTCCTCTCCATGAACTCTGTTTAGGAATTCCTCGTATGACACATCTTTTTCAAACATAAACGTAGGAACAAACTTTAACCCTTTGACCAAATTGGCAACATCCTGTTCAAGAAACAAGAAGATAATTAATTAAGTTAAATCTTGATTCACACATAGCTAAATTGATAAAATAAAAAAAATATGTTTGAAGTTAATTATAACCTCATTAATGCGTGATTGAGAATTATTGTCATAGTATTTGACTAGCTCTAGGATGTAGGTGATGCCATATTGAGTGACCAAAGATGTTATCCTTGGTTGATCAGGAACTGGATAAAAGGAAAGATCAAGTGGTGGCTGATTCAATAGAAGCATGCCTTCTACATAATCTGCTGTAGTAAATGAGATTAGATGTTCTTGGTCTCTAGAAAATGCAGAGAAGTCATTGTAAAGTAGGTGGATCCACTTCACCTGCAAGAAATTAAACACAGCTTTCTTGTGATTAATTATATATCTCTTGTAAAAAAACAATTTCTAACTTCGAAGTTATAGTTTGGTACATCTTTGATAACAGTGGCAAAAGGTTCATCCATGAGTTTGATACAACATTAAAAATAGTGGCATTATATATATAATATTTAAGAGTTTATAAAAAAAATCAGTATCATTATATTTCAATTAAATGACACATATAAATAAGTATTAGTCATTACTAATTATGGGTACAAGTGCCCTTATAAAAACAAAAGGTTACAGAAGAATATCCAAAAAATTGTATGAAAAGTCATACCTTAATTTTTCATGTATCAATCTAACTATGAAAGTAATAGGATTTTTTTTACAGCTTGGGCATGGGTGATCATACATTGATTGTTACTAGCAAGAAACTAATTGTTTTGATATACAGTTTACTGATTCATATATCAAGACAAAAAGAAAAAAAGCTTTTAAATTTGTGATTGTGACTTGGGAACAAGAATAGTGGGCACATGGAATTTCTCGACTGATTATTGGTAGTTTTAAGCACAAAAGAATATCTGCACACAGAAAGATAGAAAAAAAGATGATGATATCTTTACCCTGGTGGGTGCAGGTGCTAGTGATATTCTTGCTCTTGTAATCACCCCAAATTGACCTAACCCTCCAAGAACGGCGAAAAATGCCTCTGAGTTGTTCTCCGCAGAACAAGTCACAAGGTCTCCTTTCCCTGTAAAAGCCACATAAATTTTTTTCCAGTAAGAGAATATGGTAAGGACCATTAGATTTCCAAAAGAGATCCCTTTTTTTCCTTTAGAAAAATAAGAAAAGATGGTAAGATACTATAGCAAGAAAGGGACTAATATTTGGGAATAGATCTTTTTTTTTCGTGTTAAAATTTCAGATAATCTGATCATGTGAAATTTTTGTATTTATATTTTTCTTCACATGTATTAAATTAGTGACAGATGGACATAAAAATTTTACATGACAGGTATTTTGAGTATACCGACTTATATGAAGAGATTGGTCAACAAAAACAAAAGGATATACACTTCAAGCCAACTAGTTAGTTCCATTGTATTTTGCGTCGCGGTCTTTCTTTGATTTAATTACTGTTGTAGAATCTTGCTAAAATATACGGTGAAATCACGCGACAATTACATTTAGCTTTCCTAAGCCCAAACATTAATATATTTTAATTAAATATGAAATTATGACGACTTTGAATATTTGTATAGGAAAAAAAAAATCAATAACATTATATTTAGCATAAAATTTTGGGATAGGATATTGTAACTACCAATTAAAGTTATTACCAATGTTACTACCAATCAATTTACCGTTAGATCGATTATGTTGATCCAACGATTATATTTATTTCCATCTTTGTATGGTTATAATTTCCCAAATTTAATACTTTATATTTATCTTCACTTTGTACGAGGAATCATTAAATATGGAGAATCGTAATCATAAAAAAAAAAAGTGAAAATTGTTGTTACAATACCCTATCCTAGATAATCGTTTTGATTAGAATCGATAACATTACTAGAGAAAACTGAGTAAGTATCATACCTGTAACAACATCCAATTCAAGAACATTGGAGATCTGAGGTCCAAATCGAAAGGCTTGTCCACTGATTCCAGCATTAGAGAGCGTGCCACCAACCGTCAAATACAAGTAATCAGTCCAAGAAAGGGGTGTGAGTCCACGTTGAAGAGTTGCATGCAACACATCAATCCATAATTGTTCACCACCCACATCTGCATAATAATAATTACCCAATTGACTAGACATTATAATAATCCCAGACCCGTTTCTGAAACCGTTAAGCTGAGTCATATTCAACACAACTCCATCTCGTGTCATGGCTTGTCCATGAAGCGAGTGGGCTTGGCCTCTAGCAGCAATGGGGAAAGGGGTTGGCAGAGAGTTTGAGAACTTTATCAAATCCGAGATGTCACTAACGGATGATGGTTCAAAAACAGCATATGGGGTTTCATGAACTATGTGACCATAATCGGTTGAGGCTTGTGACAAGGTTTGAGGGTTACGGGTTAGCTTTGAGGCTAACTCTTTGGGTACTTGGGATAGTGACCAAGGTTGTGGTTGTGCCTGTGTGAGCACCATGCCCAATAGGCATAGCAGAGACATGGCTTTAGAAAGCATAAAATTATTCCTCGCCATTTTTTTTTTTGGAGAGAAGATGAGTTGAGTTGGTAATGTTGTATGGCTTTGAATTGTTGTGTGCGTATATATAACCTCAAAATCTTCTGACACAATATGATTTTTCCTATAAAAAGAAGAAAGAATTCTCTGTCTATCTTGCGTTGCTGTTACATATTTTGAATTGAATTTAGAGTTTAGAGGATTACGTTTTGATTTAGGATTTAATACAATTTAGAGCAGGTAGGATTGTGCATTTTGAATTTTAAAATTTGAATTTAATGTAATAGGAGTTGATTGTGTTTTGTGTTTTGTATTTAATAGGAGCTGATTGCGTTTTGTATTTAATATGAGTTAATTGTGTTTTGTATTTAATAGGAACTGATTGCGTTTTATTAGGAGTTACAATTTTACGAGTTGGTTACATATTGTCGCCAATTCAAATTTATTTGTAATTTGTAATCTGAGTATATTTATGGGCAACACTTCAATGAAATGAGAAAGAGTATAGAAACCAACTTTTATCTTAGTATCAGAGCAAGACTTCCGCTAACAACTCTAAGTGATGAGCGAAGCCATGTCTGACGCAAACCCTGAAGAGACCAGTACCGCAAAGAAGCTGGCAATTTCTGACCAGCGATCAGCCTTCTATCTGAGCAATGCAGATGGACCATGTATTATGTTGACCAACATGGTGCCGAAGGGAGAAATAAATTATGATGCGAGGGCTAAGGCCATGAAAAACGCCCTCAAAGCCAAGAACAAACTTGGAGATTATATCCGAAAATGGTTTAAAATATCTCATAAAATTTCTTAGGATTAATTTTCATATTTCTATATATTTTTTTAATTGTTTTCTTATTTTAGGGTTTATTATTTAGTATAAATGGATATTAGTGATTTTTCTTTTATATCATATCATATCGTATTGATACACAATATTATTCGGTCTATTATTGAGTCTTCTCCCTTTTCTAGATCTATACCTAAACCCTATAACATCAATATGTAATTTATTATATGTTTAGTTTATGGGTTTTATAAAAGTTATGTTGTAGGAAAAGTGATTGTGTAATGTTATAGAGATTCGTTTTGTGTGCCGTAGTTTCTTTTTTCTTCAAAAAGTGTGGGCCCACAAAATGTTTTGTGTGTAGGAAACTTTATTGTATCATATTAATGACAAATGCAAATCCCTTAGTTTATTTGTAAAAAACGCAAAATTAAGGAGAACGGTTTTGAACCGTTCCATTTTCTTAACATGTCAAACGTTAGCCTGTACCAGCATGTGTTTCCTAATGCAAAAGACACAAATTAAAATTGATATCTTTTAAAATAGATAAAAATAGAGTAATCTTCTAAATTGGTATTCTAAATCTTTCAAAGATTTTGTTTACAAATTAGTCCGTCAAAGATTTAAAACATCATGACCTTCGTCTTTACGAAGGAATAATGTGGTGAGATAAAATGACAAATTTAAAAACTAGTTTATATCTTTAAAATTCCAACTTATTGATAAAATTAAATTCATGATGACAAAAGGATAAATTTAAAAATTATTTTGTGTCCTTGTGGGATATTTTAAATTTTTTTTCTTTCAAAAGATCATATTGGTATAATAGTTTGGTTCAATATTTATTCCTTTATCTACTTATTTTTTTATGGGAAATTAAGAAGCTATTTACTTTAAAGAAAGGTTGAAAAAGTCCTCCTTTCGTTTTCTTTGGGATGCAACATGACGTGAAGCAGATTTTAGTAAGACTTTTGTTATTACGGCACCAAAGTCCAGTCTAAGACCTAACATTTACACTTCAATCTTACTTTTGAAATTATTCGTGCATTTACTTAAATCATTCCTCTTTTTTTACTAGAAAATGCCTTTGCATTTATCGAAATCATGGGCTAAAACATCCAACACAGCAAAGTTGCGTATATCATATGGATCGACCTCTACCCAGATCTCGCAAAGAGCTGAAAAAGTAAGGTGTGCAATACATGTGCTTCCTTGTTTCCTCCCCTTTTTACATGACCAAAGTCCAAACACAACATGTCTAGAGCTGCATGTGGGCAAGCATTTTACAATACAGAATTATCATTTTAAAATAAGTTTGTTGGTCCTTTTTAGCATATACATATAAATCTATATTCCTTAGAGATTTATAAAATAATATTTAATTTGATTCTGAAATTTATTTAGAAAGTTACAAAATAAAAATGTCAAATCATTTTTATACTAATCATGTACATATAAAAATTTACTTGAACTAATTCCATGGCCTGGCTTAACAGTGAATAAACGTGTGATATGCGTATAAATATACATTCGCAAATTCGACTTTTCATTGTACCTCTTAATTGTGGTTAGACTATGAGAAATTAATATTCTTCTCATGCATATTAATTAAGTTGCATATAAGTCGACCTAAACACCATATAACCATAATAATAATAAAACAAAAACAAAAAATTTGAGGGGATATTAAAAATTAAAGTTTAATGATTTCAAAGGATTTTAAGGGGCACTCATGCCTTCGAAAAGGAAAGATCCAACTAGCTCACTCATTACGTGAGGGGAACAAGTTAGTTGATTTCTTAGCCAAACTAGCTCATTCCTATCCCATGGGATTGGACTTTTTGGAGAGGTCATCAACTGGTTGCGGTCAACTTTCATTAATTAGATAATTTAGCTAATGCTTCTTTTCTTTGTAGACTTGTAGTATAGCTGTGTAGTAGTTTCAAGCGTTTGTCCTCAATTTAATTTGTTGGTTCCCAATTAAATAAGTTGAAGAGGCTTCCTCTGTTTTCTTTGGCATGCAATATGACATGAAGAGGAAAAGTTTCTTAATTTTGTAAATATGGATATGACTATATAGATTCAATATATAAACCAAATGTTGAAGGTGCACCAATTCGTAGGAATTGAAAGAATATCCCTTTAAACCCGCCATAGGAAAACTCTACATTTGTGGGGAATGTGGAGCCTTTTGTAATCTCTGCAAATGGACTAGCAAAATTCGTCAAGAAAACTCTGCCGTCATGCCTCTCCACGTTTCCATAAGATCTCTAAATAATTGAGTCCTCCTATACAAATTTATAAGCTCATTTATCTGTAATTTTGCCCTTCACATCATAGCCGCACCCTACTCCTCATGAACTTGTTCACATAACGGAATTTCCATCATAGCCACACCCTACTCCTCATTAAATAGCTCTTGAATAAGATCATGTTTCCATCTCCTTGGATTATACAACAACGATTGGCGTGCCTTGCTATAGTAATATCCATAATCTGAAGGTTTTGCACACAAAAGAATGGCTAGGATAGGTATATTGGCTTCCCTCTAGGAATCTGTAAATCCAGCTGGTCTGTTTTCCCAAAAAAAAAAAAAAAAAAAAAACTATTCCATAAATTTAGAACACATAGGTAGAGATATTCTTATGGACTCCTGAGAGGCCCATATTCTAGAAAGCCCGGAAAGAGTCAACACAAAAGGAAGAGAATTATTTTTAATGACCATCTTATCTTAACAACCAAGCAATTGGACTTGGCCCCCCAAATAAGCCACTAAAGATCCATAACTTCATGACCCACAGGTAAACTCTATAAATAAGAGGTAAAGCCTACATGTACGGATCAATTCTCTCTTACTGCTATGATGTTACTGTGCACACACATCACTGTATTGGCATAAGCTGTTTCTATTGCGTACAGTGATCAGTAATCCAAAGATATCTCACCTTAGGTATCTAAGGGAGAACGCCAGATCCAATATAAATCTACTAGTTTTTGACTATACATCTCTATCATCCAGACAAAATATTGGTGTTATGTGTGGGGACCTATAAATTTCTATTCCCACTATTAATATGGTGAATACTAGAAGTAGCTACCCACCACTACCACCACTTGGACTGTTGTAGCCGTCAGATCTGGTATTGGAGGAGCAGCTGGCTAACCACCCAAACCCAGGCAACAAGCTGGAAGTTGATTATGATGTTGTCCATGTAAGCGAAGCTATCTCGGATTCTGCATCGTCTACACCTGCCGTGAATCAAGATTCGCGGCCAGACCTGATGTAGACCACATCGGCTCAAGGCATCGCCCAAAACATAGATCAACGTATAACTCAAACCATTGTAAATGCACTATTACATCGCATGGAGGAAAGGGAGAACCATAATCAACTTCAAAGGCAGCAGGACGCCTAGAGGATCCGAGATTTGGAGGCACAAATGCTTCAAATGGGAAACTTGGACTAAGCTATAACTCGGATACTAAATGATTTGAATAGAAGAATAGATCCAAGCAGACTCAATTGAGTTCGAGACGCAGATCGGGTCAGAAATGAACATATTGAGGCTAGGAATAGCGGTGAAGGAAACAGGAACTAGGATGCAAATGGTTACAGAACTTGAGATGAAAGGATCATAGACTGTGATAGAACAAATGATACAGCAAACCGAGATAGAAAGGTAGGGAGAATAAGGAATGTTGAACTAAGGGGAAATAAAGCTATCCACAATAGAAATGTTGCAGAAATAACTCAACATGTCGTGATAATGGGCCAAGATGAAATTGGTATATATAGAAGGAAATATCATAGAGGGTAGTACAAGAACAACCCTTTTATTGATGAAATTATAGATGCGCCTTTCCCAGAGAATCTCAACTTGACGCAATTACCAAAATATAATGGAAGCCAAGATCCCCAGGTCCATCTTGATGCTTTTGATACATACATGTATATCAAATTCATCGAGAACCACAGATTATCCGTCTATTTTCCATAACATTGGAAGGACCTGCTCAGACATGGTTTTCAACATTACCGGCAAATTTTGTTAGGTCATTTGAATAATTTGGTAGTAGATTTCTGTTAAATTTTGCCACCAGCAAAACACTGCAAAAGTCAGAATTTGCTTTGGGTAAGATTAGGCAGCAACCCATCGAGACATTCCATAAGTATTTAGATCATTTTAAAGATGTAGCACTTCAAGTGCTGGGTCTATAGGAGAATGTGCAT